CATGGTGTTTTCAATCACCTCACATGCATGCAAAAGCTGGGCAATGAATAAGGAAGACAGAAGAATTGATGCCTTTGAGTTGTGGTGTTGGAGAAGAATATTGAATATACCATGGACTGCCAAAGGGATGAACAAATCTGTCTTGGAAGAAGTACAACCAGAATGCTCCTTAGAAGCGAGGATGGCAAGACCGCATATCGCATACTTTGGACATGTTGTCAGGAGGGATCAGTCCCTGGAGAAGGACATCATGCTTGGTAAAGTAGAAGGTCAGTGAAAAAGAGGAAGACCCTCAAGGAAATGGACTGACACAGTGGCTGCAACAATGGGCTCAAACATAACAACGATTGTGAGGATGGCACAGGACTGGACAGTGTTTCGTTCTGTTGTACATAGGGTCACTATGAGTCGGAACTGACTCCACAGCATCTAAGAACAACAGCACGACAAAGTTTAATTCAAAAATGAAGTTTTGATTCAGGTTTGGGTCAGTCATTTTTCAATCATGCCAAGCACCTCAGTTATAGAGTGCCCTCACAGAGGGGTGACCCACCCAGGCCATCCACCCTTAGGTGTCCATGATTGTTAAGGTTGTGTGTCATGGTGATGATTCTTATGGTTTGGCAGTTATGATATAGTATGGCAGTCATATAATGATGTAATCACTTCCATGATGAGATCTGATATAATGTGATCACCTCCATGATGGGATCTGCTGTGAGTAGCCAATCAGTTGAAAGGGAGTTTTCTTGGGGTGTGGGCTACATCCAGTATAGGTGGTCTCTCTGGCAAGGCCCATGGGCTCTCTCTGGATCCTACAGCTGGGTCCTGTTCATCTGACCTCTGGGTCTTGGGTCTTCAGCTAGCAGCTTCCCTGCCCATCTTGGGATTTGTCAGCCTCCACAGTCTGTGAGCCAGTGGCCTGCCAGCTTACCTGCTGATTTTGGGATTTGTCGGCCTCCACAGCCTGTGTGCCAGAGGCCTGTGGTCTGACCTGCTGATCTTGGGGTCACTGGCCCCTGCAGCTACATGAGTCAGGAGAAGCCTCCATCCTGACCCATGGACTTGGGACTTTCCAGCCTCTACAACCTCGTGAGCTTCACTGGTTTTGTCTCCCTAGAGAACCCAGTCTCAGACAGTCTCCTTTTGAACCTTGAAAGAACTGATTCCCTGGAGTCACCTTCAGGTCAAACAATGGCTTAGTAAGCAGCTTAGTGGAGACCATTTGGCCTTAGGCATTGGGTTCTTTTGGAAAATTATCTATGTGCAGCCAGCATAAAGAAGCAGGACCTCCAGGGTTTGACTAGAGGCTATTGTAGGATGTATGGCGTGTCCTTGGTGACTGTTTCTGCAACCTGTCCTGTGCTTTGATGCTATCTCTTGAGAAATTAACAATGCCCTACATAACCCACTTTCACTGTCCTCTCTTTGGAACACCTCCCAGATTGGAATTGATCTACTCACAATATTCTATTATGCTAACTTTTGATGTTTCTCTCTGTTTTTTGACATTTCCAAAATTACCAGCAATTGCTGGCCCTTTTCGAGGGTTTTGTAGGGTAAATTCAGTTGCTTCTTGGCTTTCCCAGTTGACAGCCTAGGATTCAGCTTTTTAGGGTTTTCTAAGTGAGTTACAACTTATATATTTTCTTTCTACCTTCTAAAATTTTGTTGCTCTTGTCTCCTCTACTTTAGAGATCATGCAAGTGCCTCTTTCCCCCTTTTAAAATTTTGTGGTTATTTTATTGGAGTTCTAGAAGAGAGTGGAAACAGTGGCAGTCTAGACAGAAAGAGGATGATTAATATGATATGTGGGACATGCAAGGGAAGATGTATAGTAGGAAGTTGGATATTTATATCTTGAGCATAGGAGAAAGTTCTGGAGTAAAAATAGATGTGTAAATATATATACTGGAAAAATTCTCAGAACCCTCATATGCTGCTTGTGGGAATGTAAAATGGTGTAGCCACTGTGGAAAACAGCTTGGCGGTTCCTCAAAAAATTAAACACAGAACTACCATATGACCCAGCAATTCCACTCCTGGTAATTGAAAAGTAATTGAAAGCAGAGACTCAAACAAATAAATGTACAGATATGTTCATAGCAGTACTATTCACAATAGCTAAAAGGTAGAATTAACCCAAATGCCCACCAGCAAAAGAATGAGTAGTGTATACATACAATGGAATATATTATTTAGCCATAAAAAAGGAATGAATTACTGATACATGAAGCAACATGGATGAACCTTGAAAAATATTAAGCTGAGTGCTATTTACATAAAATGTCCAGAACAGGGAAATCTATAGATAAAGAAAGTAAATTTGTGGTGTATAGGGCTGGGGTTGGGGTGGGATGAAGAGAATGAGAGTCATAGCTAAAAGGTATAGGTTCTCTTTGAGGTGATGAAAATGTTCTAAAATTGACTGTGGTGATAGTTGCAAAACTCTGTGAATATGTTAAAAACCATTTAAAAACCACCGAATTGTACACTGTAAAGGGGTGAATTATATGAGAAAATGCCTCTGAATTATTCTCAATAAAGCTGTTTCAAAAAACTCTTGAGTTACATTGAGGAAGTGTTTTCCTCATAGCTCTGTAAATGTTTCCTCACTGTCTTGTTGCATTTAGGATTACAGTTGAGAAGTATGAAGCTTAAAAAGTATTCTTTGGGTTGCAAGTGACAGAAACCCAACTTGAACTAGTTTAGCCACAAAGAGGAATATTGTGGAATGAGTTCCACCGAACTGGGACCAGGTAGGCCTATTGCAGAATGGGAGACAGTTCTTTTCCCAAAGGAAGGGATGCTGGGTAGATGAAGAACAAGTGAATACCCTCGGTATCACTCTAATTGTTTCTTCTTTGCAGGTGAGCTATTCTTCTGACACAATGTTTCAAACATTTTCTCTTTACTTGAGGAAACAGAAAATTATAAGATCAAAAGTCTCAGCCTTGGTTAACAATATGGATGAACTCATAATCCACAAGTTTCAATGGTACCTAAAGAGAAATTTTGAGAAAAAGCTGTTGACACGTTTCTAGGATTCCCATGTTAGTCATTCCCGTTTGTTTAGATAGCGAAGGAAGAAGGTTAGACAGTATTTGCAGCCAGTTAGTAAAGAAACATTAAAGTTAAATCTATACTTAGTCTCCATCTTGTCATCATAAAGATGTTTCTATACAATCTGTTTACTAAAAAGGGTACAGAGCTTTCCTGTATCAGTGAGATGTTTTAATATGTATCTTCCAAAGATATTCAATTTATAATCTTGAGATTTTGTTTGATAAAATGTAACAGAAAATTATACTTGTTCATTTAATGTCACAAACTGTATTTGTCATAGGAGATTGAATTCGCTCACCAATCTTCTGGTAATTAACTTGTTATAACCTCAGTGCTCTTTTAATTAACTCAACCGGCATTATACACATGGTGTAGATTCCCTGAAGTTAGCAATACTACCTGAGTTTCTAAAGTCTCCATCCTGCTAGTCAATGCCTCCATTTGGTTCTAAAATATCATCGTTCACATTTTTATTTCAAATGTAAGTGCACACTTCTTAAACAAAGGCATTTGTTTATACATGGCAGTATTTTATTTAACTCTTTATAGAGGAAACCAGCAGGAAGATAAAAGAGCTGCTTCCAAGAGCATTTGAGAAATAGAGGTTTATATAGTCCACGGGAAAAGAATGCCAAAACAAGATTGTTAAAATAGACTTAAGAGTGGTTAACCTTTTACAAGAAATAAAACCATATCACCTTTGGGGTTAACTTCTCTACTGGGCTATAAAACGGAACAACTTATTGACTTCTATCAGTTAACCTTGAACTTACAGAACCTCACAGGACTGTAAACCATTTGCACCTTCATCGATCGTCAATTAACTATACTGTGAGTGTTAAGTTACAGTCCCTGAAGAGATCAAAACCAAACCAAACCAAGCCCATTGCCGTCAAGTTGATTCCGACTCACAGCGACCCTATAGGGCAGAGTAGAACTGCTCCATAGAGTTTCCAAGGAGCGGCTGGTGGATTCAAACTGCCGACCTTTTGGTTAGCAGCCATAGCTCTTAACCACTACACCACCAGGGTTTCCTGAAGAGATCATGTAAGGATCAAACAGGCTTATTAGGAAAACCTGTAGTGTGTGGTGGGGGGCGGGGTGGGGGGAAAAGCAGTATTTCTCTTGCCTTTTCTGAAACGAGGATAAATGTTCTTTTGTACTAGGAGCTCTTGTTTCCAAACTGGCCTGTGTTGCAAACTCTGAATGCTTCCTCCAACCGCTCTATGGTTTATCAACCAGGGGATGTTTGTGTGGTTATAGTGAAGGGGGCCAGTGGATGGAAGAAGTAGTAAACCCTTCACAAACTTATTGGAGGTGAGGGCGGTTCCTCTTGGGTGGTGCCTGCGGCAGACTGAAGTGTTTTCGCTCTGCTTTCACCTGTTCAATTTTTTTCTTAGATGTTTAGCCATGTAGGTGAGACTCTTCTCAAGCTTTCAGGCATGATATAGAATTTCCCTTGTTACATTTTTGTTGCATTGTTTCAACAGAAAATTAGGAGACGGAGGGAGTAAAATAATTGCATTATTAGAATTATAATATTTGTATCTCCTATCCAGGTAGCCATGAATTTTCCTCAGTTTTTCCAGAAATATTAAAAATCTGTTCTTTAGAAGTCTATTATGATCATTACCTTCTTTGGCCACCACAAATTTCAAGAGGACACTGTCATTTTATTTCAAGGTTCCCAGTACTTCCATACACTTAACCTGTTGTATTTCTGTTGGTTAGAATTAAGACCAAATGACTTTATTTCTACATCCTGAGATTAATTTCAGCTCTTTTCAGACCATTCCCCCTTTTAAAAGCTGATGAAATCTATGGACCCTCTTGTCATAAAAACACACTATGCATTCACACATATAATGTTGCATGTAATTTTAGTTTAAGAACACTACTTTTTGAGGTAAGAATGTGCCACTAACAATGCCTCAGTGTGACTGAATAAGATAATTATAACGAGGCGAAAACAGACTTTAATGTAGTAATAGTTCTTACATCTCTCTATTTTACAGATTGACAAATGACTTGCCTTTTGACTTCCAGGCTGTGTTGATAGGACCCCAAAACATGCGGTTAAAGTCTATCTAGTGGAAAAATTCAGCTCAGTTTATTTGGCACCATGTACAGATAACTGAACACAGAAAACTTAGGTAAGAAGTTTGCTTTGTTTCGCTAAAAGGACTTAACTGCATTTCCTTTTCCATCCCTCAGGCGTTGTAACATCCCTTCTGTGCTTGACCAGGATACTAAACAAGTGGGAGTTTTAGTTTAAACGTATAAAGCCTCATCTGAAATGCCTACATCACGAAGGTGTCTCTCCAGCGCATAGCCAATCCTCTGGGCACGTTGGCTAACGTGCCTGGAGAGCCCTGAGTCCCCCCAGGACGACCTGGACTTGGGGCACTGACAGAGAGGGAGAGCGAGGGGACCAGCAGGCGCTGCGGTTGGCTGCCCTCAGTGGTGCTGCTGAGACTGGCAGCCCAGAATCTCCAGCCTCAGGGCAATTTGGTGCATCCAGCTCTGAGGGTAAATTCTAAGGTAGCGGGTCAGCAGTGGGGGGTCTAAAGAGTTCACCACAGGTGTGACGGAGTCTCGATTTCCCTGAAAAACCTGAAGGAGAGAAGACAGCGTTTATTAGTCGTCTGACAGGAAAAAAAAAAAAAAAAATTATACCCACCCCTATTGGCCTCCTATTCTGTCAGTCGCTCCTCCATAGGTCCGCCCCCAACACGGCCCCTCCCCCTCCATGTTGGCAGCCATTATAATGCCCTCAAATCCCTCATGTTTTTCTCATTTCCAATTGGGTAGCCATTGCTCCCAGTGGTCCAGGATTGAACCCTGAGAGGTGACTGGATGGCTCCATGTCAGATACATCTGGGCCTGGGAAAGTGGGTGTGGCATTTAGGATTAAGAGCACCTGCCTGCCTGCTCCAGTGTGCTTTGTATATGAGGTTCCCTCTGCTTGGAATGCTCTTATCCCTTATGTGCCCCCTTCTTTTCTCCTTCGGGTTTCCATGTAAATGTCATCTCTTTAGAGAGCTCTCTCTCAGTGCACACACGCGCACACACACGTGTTTTCCTGAACTATTTGATAGGAAGTGATTTTAAATTTCTGACTCAAAGAGTTTTTAACATCTGTAAATGCTTGTTTAGGGATATCTAATTCAGGTTGGGGTGCTGTGTTACTCCTTTCCTCTGCTTTGCCTGTTTTTTTTTTTTTTTTTTTTTTTTTTGGTGGGGGAAGGGATTTTCATTGGCTGAAGTGCTTCGATTCCCTGTCTTCCCAGTCTTCTTCTGACAGTAATTTTGGGTTTATGTTGTCTGCTATATTAGTCAGCTTTCGCTGTGGTTGAAAACCCCCTCAAAATCTCACTGATTTACAATAAAAATCTATTTTTTTCTCAAGCTACCAGAGGGCTCTTGGTTAGCTGCAGCCCTGCCCCAGGCTGAGGCTCTGTACTATGTGTCTTCTCGTTCTGTTTAGAAGTGGTGTATGTTATGTTTGCTCACATCCCATGGTCAAAGTCAGTCACATGGCCAAGCTCAAAGTCAGCGGGGCTTACAAGGAAGGAGGGAGGAAAAAAATCAAGAACAAACTGCCATCTACCTCCTCTACCATTTTCTATTCATTTCGAACTTTTTTTCTATTGGGGTAAATGTGTATGTAATGTAACATTTGCAATCTCAGCGTTTTTCACGTGTACAATTCAATGACATTCTTCACATGTACAATTCAATGACATTCCTCACACATACAATTCAATGACAATTCAATTCATTCTTCACATGTGCAGTTCAATGACTTGTACAATTCAGGGACATTCAATGACTATTCAATCACATTCAATGTACAGTTCAAGGCTGATGACAGCCATCACCATCATCCACCTCCAAATTTTTCCATCACCCTTAACAGAAGTTCAGTGTCCCATAAGCCATGAATCCCTCCCCACTTCCTCAAGCCCCTGGTAATCACTAACAAACTTAAGCCTGTATACACTTGCCTGTTCTAGATAGTTCACATACGTGGAATCATACGTTTGTCCTTTTGTGATTGACTTATTTCACTGAGCTTCACGTTTCCAAGGTTCATCTATGTCATGGCATGTATCGGAACTTCATTTTTCTTCACAGCTGAGTAATATTCAATTGTATGTACATACCACATTTTGTGTATCCATTCATCCTCTGATGGACATTTAGGTTGTTTCTACCTTTTGGCTACTGTGAATAATGCTGCTATGAATATTTGTGTACACATTTTTGCGTGGACATGTGTTTTCATTTCTCTTGAGTATGTATTTAGAGTGAAATTGTTGGATCATATGAGAGGATTTCTCATATTTTCTTGTTCCCACCATACGAGGTGATTTTTATGTAGGCAGGGATGGGAGGTTTGGGTAGCTTACTAACTTTCCTAGCACAGGTGCACCCTCTACTGTTGACAAAGTGAAATGCATTTCCTTTAACAGGAAGAGATTTTCTGTCTTGTAATTTTTTTTTTGGTTTGTTTTTATAGGACACTTAATTTCCACCATTTGTTTTCTTCTTTCATTCATCACCAAGCCTCCAAGAGATGTATCTCCCTTCATCAGAAGCAGTGCCTTTCCAAGACTGGCACCTCTAGTCCCATATACTTTCAAGACCCTTCCTTTCAATTCCCCCAGAAGTCAGTGCTGCGTGCCATCCAGCTGATCTCAGCCCTAGCCTTAGTATTTCACCACTCGGGGACTCTCTTTCCAGAAGTGATTTGATCTGTGTTCTACCACCACTAGGTCCCACACTGACCTTTCCCCTTTTCTGCACACTGCCTCCTTGACTCTCTCGAAGGTAAGCTCTGCAGTTGGGTCGGCTAGCTTCAGATGCTTATTTCCTACTTACATGTAAATTAAAATGCATAGTATTCTTTGTCTCCTAGTTATTCTATAGGTGGTTTTATTTTCAAACTATGACTTGGAACCAACTCGACGACACCTAACAACAATTTTACATGGTATCTTTTAAAATGTCATTTTTCAACTATTTCTGGCATATAGAAATACAATCTATTTTTGTATATTGATTTTGTATTCAGCAAGCTTACAAAGTCCTTTTATTAATAAAAATTTATCTATAGATTCTTTTGAATTTTCTATGTATAGTATTATATTTTCCACATATAATGAGAGTTTGTTTCATCTTTTCCAATCCTTATACATTTTCTTTTCCTTACCATACTGCACTGCTTAGGATAGCCAATACAGTTTTTAATAAAGGTGGATATGGTCGATTAAAGAGGGCTACAAAGTCTCTGACACTCCTCCTGTGGAGTTGTTAGGTGCTGTCGAGTTGGTTCCAACTCATAGCGACCCTGTGTACAACAGAACAAAACACTGCCCAGTTCTGTGCCATCCTCACAACGTTGCTATGTTTGAGCCCATTGTTGCAGCCACCGTGTCCATCCATCTCGTTGAGGGTCTTCCTCTTTTTTGCTGACCCTCTACTTTACCAAGCATGATGTCCTTCTGCAGGGACTGGTCTCTCCTGATAATATGTCTAAATTATGTGAGATGAAGTCTCACCATCCTTGCTTCTAAGGAGCATTCTGGCTGTACTTCTTCCAAGACAGATTTATTCGTTCTTTCGGCAGTCCATGGGATATTCAATATTCTTCGCCAACACCACAATTCAAAGGCATCAATTCTTCTTTGGTCTTCCGTATTCATTATCTAGCCCTCCTATGCATACGAGACAATTGAAAATACCATGGGTTGGGTCAGGTGTACCTTAGTCCTCAAAGTGACACCTTTGCCTTTTAACACTTTAAAGAGGTCTTTTGCTGCAGATTTGCCCAATACAATGCGTCATTTGATTTCTTGACTACTGCTGCCATGGGCGTTGATTGTGGACCCAGGTAAAATGAAATCCTTGACAACTTCATATGATTTTCTCCATTTGTCATGATGATGTTGCTTATCGGTCCAGTTGTGAGGATTTTTGTTTTCTTTATGTTGAGGTGTAATCCGTACTGAAGGCTATAGTCTGATCTTCATCAATAAGTGCTTCAAGTCCTTCTTCACTTTCAGCAAACAAGGTTGTGTCATCTGCATATGGCAGGTTGTTAATGAGTCTCCCTCCAATCCTCATTCCCATTCTTCTTCATATAGTCCAGCTTCTCCGATTATTTGCTCAGCATACAGATTGAATAGGTATGGTGAAAGGATGCAACCCTGACGCACATCTTTCCTGACTTTAAACCACGCAGTATCCCCTTGTTCTGTTCAAACAACTGCCTCTTGGTCTACGTGCAGGTTCCTCATGAGTATAATTAATACACCCATGGAGTAGTGGGTCTATTTTACTTCCTTCTAAATCCGGGCTGGCCTTTGACTCTTTTGACGAATTAAGTATGGCAGAAGTGACACTATACTACTGACTTCAAGGCTTGGCCTTTAAGATTACGAGAACTGGCAGCTTCCACGTTTGTTTCTTGGACTCGAGTTCTTAAGTAAGATCACCATGCTCTGAGAAGCTCAAGACATGTGGAGAGGCCCTGAAGGCTGACACATCATGTGGTTAGAAAGGTCAAGGAACACCAAGACGCCAGATATCTGAGTGAAGAAGCCACCTAGGAAATGGATTCACTGCTCCCACTGACACCACATAGATCAGAGGCAAACCAGCCAGCCAATTGATTCCTAAATTGCTGGTCCACAAAATTGTGAGCACGTTTTGGGGTAGTTTGTTATGTAGCAATAGATAATCAGTACAGTGTCTTATAGCAATAAGACAAGGGCATCCTTCTCTTATACTCAGTATCAAATGGAAAGCTTTCTATGTTTCACTATCAATATATTTCCTGTAAGATTTTTGTAAATATCCTTTATTAGATTAAACAGTTTCTCTTTTAGTTCTAGTTTGCTAATTGTGTCATCAGGAACAGATGTTGAATTTTATAAAATGATTTTTTAGCATGTATTGATTATATAATCCTTCAGTATGTTAACATGATGGATTATATATTAATTTCTAATGTTACTCCAACCTTGTGTCCCCTAGGATAAATCAAACTTGGATCCATATTGCTAATATTTTATTTGGGATCTATTTTCATAAATAAAATTAGCCTATTATTTTCATCATAAAAAGAGTTGGATAATGTACAATCTTTTTCCATTTTCTGTAAGAATATTTGTAAAAAAATTTTTTTATTATTTCTGTCTTGAAAATCTGGTAGAACATTTGGTGTACCCATCTGGATCTGGAGTTTCTTTGTGAGAATATTTTTAAATACTGATTCAATTTCTCAAAGGCTATAGGAGCTTTAAGGTTTTTTATTCCTTCTTGAGTAAATTATATTTCCTAAAACAAACGATCCTAAAATTCACATGGAATTTCAAGGGAGCCCAAATAGCCAAACCAATCTTGATTTAAAAAAAGAACACAGCTGGAGGACTTACACTTCCCAATTTCAAAACTTACAACAAAGCTACAATAATCAAAGCAGTATGGTACTGGCATAAGGATAAACATATTGAACAATGGAACAGAATTGAGAGTCCAGAAATAGACCCATTCATCTATGGTCCATTGCTTTTCAAGAAAGGTATATGACTATTCAATGGGGGAAAGAATAGTCTTTTCAACAAATGATGCTGGGACCAACTGGATATCTACTTGCAAATGAATTAAGCTGGACCCTTACCTCACACCATATATACAATTTAACTCAAAATGAATCAAAGACCTGTGTGTGTGTGTGTGTGTGTGTGTGTGTCTGAGTTTATCCTACATGGAGTTAGTTGAGCTTCTTGGGTTTGTAGATTCATATCTTTCATCAAATTTGGGAAGTTTTTGGCCATTATTTCTTCAAATATTCTTTCTTCCCCTTTCTTTCTGGGACTCTCATTATGCCTATGTTGGTACACTCGATGGTGTCCCACAGGTCCCTTAGTCTCTGTTCATTTTTCTTTTTGCTCCTCAAACTAGATAATTTCAATCGACCTATCTTCAAGTTCACTGATTCTTTCTTCTGCCTGCTCAGATCTGGTCTTGATCCCGCCCTTAGTGAACTTTTCATATACTTTTTAACGCCATAATTTATATTTGGTTCCTTTTTATAAATTCTGTCTCTTTGTTTATATTCTCTATTTGCTGAGACATCATTCTCCTGGTTTCCTTTAGTCTTTGTCCATGGTTTGCATGATCCTTTTAAGCCTATTTAAGACAGTTGATTTAAAGTCTTTGTCTAGTAAGTCCAACGTCTGGGCTTCCTCAGGAACATTTTCTATATATTTCTTTTTTTTTTTCCTGTGAATGACTCATACTTTCTTGTTTCTTTGCCTGCCTTGATTTTGTTGTTGAAAACTGAACATTTGGAATATTATAATGTGGTAAGTCTGGAAATCAGATATTCTCACCTTCCTAGGGTTTGTTGTTGTTTCTTGTTATGGGTTGTATTGTTTGTTTCTTTAGTGACTTATCTAAACTATTTTTATATAGAAAGTATTTGTGTTTGTGTGTGTGTGTGTGTGTGTGTGTGTGTGCTCACTGAAGTCTCTGTTCCATTATCTTGGTGGTCAGCTAGAGATTTGACAGAGATTTCCTTAAATGTCAATATTTAGCATCGTCTTTCTTCATAAAGAACTCCCCTGGTTGTTAAGTTTTTAAATTAGACTCCAGAGTTCTGAAAATATTGATTCTAGGAGTTTTTGGCAGCTACTATTGTAGCTTTGGTGGAGAGATGGATATTTGGAGTTCTTTCGTCTACTATTTTTGATGAGATCACTCCCTCTGGCTTCTGTATAAAAATTTTTTTTTTTGGCCTTTGATTTTCTGCCATTTCACTATAATGTGACTAGTTATACACTTTCTTTTATTTATCTTGATTGGGATATGCTTGGCTTCTTGAATTTGTGCATTGATATTGTCCTTCAGTTCTGGAAACTTCACAGCCCTTATCCTTTCAGTCTGGGACACCAGGGATACCTATGTTAAACTTTATCTCTGTATCTTCTATGTCTCCTAATTTCTATCCTGTATTTTTCATCTTTTGTGCTACATCATGGGGAATTTCTTCAGATGTATCTTCCAATTGATTAAATTTCTCTTCAGCTGTGCCTAATCTGCTATTTAAATAAATCTTTGACTTTTAAACTTCAACAATTACATTGTTGATTTCTAAAAGTTCTTGTTTTCAAAATTGCCTAATAATTTTGGATGATATGTCATTTATTTTATGTTTCTATGTTTTCTTGGTTTAAACATGCATAATTATTTGATGTTATATATCTGATAATGTCAATATCTGATGTTCTTCAGATTCAAAATCTGCATTGGTTGTTTCTGCTCATTTGTACTCAAGATGACTTATTATCTTGCATTTTTGCTGATCTATGTTTATGATCTTATATATGTTTGATATTAATATGCAGAAATCCTGGAGGCCTAAACTGGGGATGCTTTCCTCCAGAATGGATTTGAGAATACTTCTTTCAGATGCCAAGGAGTGCTACTAATCTGGAACCACTTTAGCTCCCTTCTGGGGTTCCTGACTTAATGCAGAAGTCTCAGGTTCAGTTATCCTTGCATTATTTTCAAGGCTTAGTCTCCCACTAACAATACTAATATAGGTATTTTCCCTCAGTGACGGTCCTACCTTTTACATTTCCTCACTTCCCACCTGTCCCTGCTCTGACTTAAGCCCATTAGTTTTCATTGAAAGCACATGGTTTTTTTGTGTTGGTGGTGGAGAGGCTGGAGATTCCCCTCTCTTCATTTGAGCGCAGCAAAGTATTAAGAAGTATGTCCTGTCAGTGATATAGCCTTTTTAAAATTGGAATTTCCTTTAGAATATCTATTGTCTAGATTCTAGTCCACCAAACTTCTAGAAGCAGAAGTTCTTAATCCAGTCTTGAGGGATCAGGGAATTCTTCTTGGGGAAAATAATGTGTATCTGAGTCTTGAAGAATGAGCCAGATGAAAGGGGCAGTGGGAGGTAGGTAGAAAAATGTTTTAGGTAGAAGGACCAGTATGCATAAAAGCCTGGTGTGAGAAAGAACATTCTGTATTTGGGGACCTAGGAGTCTGTTAGTATGACTGGAGCTTAGACAGCATAGGGGCAAGGGGAAGAGACTTTGCTAGAGAGGTTGGTACAGGACACACTACGGTTAATTCTTGGTGAAAAAGAAGATATAAAAAAGCATACCGATGAGTTATTCCTTCTGTTTATGGTGACTGGAAATTTGACATCAACTAAGGGTAATGGTTGTACAACATAATTAACGTACTTGATATCACTAAGCTGTACACCTGAAAAAAGTTGAATCGGCAAATGTTGTGTTATATTTTTACAACAACAACAACAAAAGAGCAGCTGTTGATACTGGTTACATACAACCAAACATCTCATGGGATTTGTTTTCTAGGTTCAGAGGTTTAGGATCATGGTTCATGGGACATCCCAGTCAATTGTCCTAATATTGCTTTAGTGTTTCTGTTCTACCTCCTAGTTGACTGTGTAGTGCCTGGGGTCTTAAAAGCTTGTGAGTAGCCATCCAAGGTACAACAATTTGCCTTCATTTTCTTGGAGAATCAGAGGAAGAAGAAGAGTCAGGAACTGGAGGAGGAACTGGAATGTGTGTCTAATTGCCTTCATGAACAACTGCCTCCTTTGCATTGAGACCAGAACAACTGGATGGTGCCTGGCTACCATTACAGAACATTTTAATCAAAGAGTCTATAGAAGACTCCTGATCAAAAGGGGGGAAAATGGAACAGAATTTCAAATTCTCATGGACTCCAGACTTTCTGGAGCCATGGAGGCTAGATGAAGTCCTGAAACTATTGCCCTGAGATAATCTTTAAACCTTAAATCAAAAATATCCCCTGAAGTCTTCTTAAAACCAAACAATAGTTTAGCTTATTTAGTAAAGCATGTTTGCCTTGAGCATTGTGCTCTTTTAAGGAATTATTGATACGTGATCAAATTGACAACAGAAACTTGAAGGGTTAGATGAGATGCTTAGGGGGCAATGAGTTTATGTTAATGGTGATAGGATAATTTGGAAAAGGATAGTGAGAATGGTCGCACAACTTGAAGAACATAATCAATGTCACTGAATTGTACATGTAGAACTGGTTGAACTAGTGTATGTTGTGTTGTGTATATTTTCACCAAAATGATAATAATTTAAAAAGCTGCTAACAGCAAAAAAAAAAAAAAAAAAAAAAAAAGACGAGCTATTCCTTGGGATAGCACGATTTTATGTCATGGTTTCTAATAAGCATAATTTGATTTGTTGACTTTCCCAGCTGCTATGGATTGAATTGTGTTCTCCAAAAAGTTATGCTGAAGTCCTAACTCCTGTACCTGTAAATATGACCCTGTTTAGAAATAAGAGTTTCCTTTTGTTATGTTAATGAGGCCATACCTCATCATGAGGTCACACCTCATAGGAGTAGGATGGGTCCTAAACCTAATCCTTCTGAGTGGTGTCGTATAAAAAGAGCAGGATAAACACAGATACACACACTCAGGGGGAGATGCCATATGAAGATGGAGGCAGATGAACCTACAAGCCCAGGAATGTCAAGTTACTTGAAGCTGAAAGAGACAAGGAAGGACCTTCCCCTAGAGCTGATGCCCTGAATTTGGACTTCTAGCCTCCATAACTCTGAGGAAATAATTTTTTTGTTCTTTAAAGCTACCTACTTTTGGTATATTTTGTTATGACAGCACTAGGAAACCAAGACACCAGCAAACCCAGATCAAGAATGAAGATTGTCTGGCTTTCTAAAGTTAAAGGTCAATGAGGCTTGGAAATCTAGGTTGCTAATGAGGATATAGGCATCACTGAGCACTTGGCAAATAACTCTCATTCTTCACTCCTCAGATTCTTGCCATCATCCTGGATGACATCAATATCTATGATGTCAACTTATGGCCCTACTTTGCCCTTTTCCTGGGATGATATCATTTTGCTTAGAGTCACTGTGTCCTCCCAGAATGCCTTTCACAGTGTTCTGCTACTACAGGCACTCAGTAAATATTACCCTGAAACTCTAGTCAAATATCATCCTTATTATGTTACTAGATCTCAAGCTCTAGGAGAGGTTTTATGTTTCTGCTATGAGACGAGCATACCTTTACTTTGTCATTCTGAAGAAAGAGAGTCCAGTGATGGCCATCTTGACTGCTGGAGATGAGGAACTCCTTTACATACATGCTGGTAAGGAGAGATTTTGCCCCCTGGGTGGTAATTCCTGTGACTTTCATTGTCTTCTGGAAGTCCACTTGCAGCCACTCTTTTGGACTATTTACCTGAGGAAGTGAGTGTCGGACTAGTATCTTACTGGTCACAATTTGCTGACCCCAAATCCCTTCTCCTTAACCCTATCCTGGCACTTATAATTCTGCGTTTTAATGGCCTGTTTATTTGTCAGTCTCCCCTATTATACTCTAAGCAACTTGAGAGCAGGAGTTTTGCATGATTCATCTTTATATCCCCAGGGTCAACCACTTAATAGGTGCCCAGTAAATGTTTTCTGAATGAATATATGAGCCATATAGTAAGTCATAATCTACCCAGCAAAAATATATTCATAGTGACTAGAGTATAAAAAGTTTGGCAATGTGGTATACCACCTGTTTTGTTTAAAATAAGTCCCTGGAGGAGCAGAGCCAATTAGCTCCGTTCATCTCCAATAGCTGCTCAGTAATTGAAAATCACAAATTGGATGGTTCTGGAAAAGACCTGTGTCCAATGCACTGTACATGGTTGTGACCCTTTCCTTCACAGAACCGAGAAACTGAGGAAAAAAGCTAGTGTTGCTATTTCTCCATACGACCGGACTTAAGCTACAACAGTTCTTTGGCAGATCTTAGCCCAGTACTGGATATAGAGATTCTTCTTCCAGGAGGTTCAATCAGGGATCATTTCCCCAGTGAATGCTGTGTGAAATCACACAACACATCTAATAATGCCCGTAGGATTTTCTGCCTAGAGTCAACCTTCCTTGACACTCCTTCTGGAAACAACCAGTTGACAGAAATGGCTCTGAAGAAATGGTCAAGGGCTTTCCCTGTTCCTCCCCAACCACTACTCCCTGATCTGAACTAGTAAAATAGCAGATCTGTTGCCTCTTACCTGTGGTCTCCAGGCATTGATCCGCCCCTGGAGGTGAAGTCGAGCTTGTGAAGGAGCCCAGGTGGCAAATATATTGGTGAAGTAGGATGAGGCAGTAATCTGTGCATCTGATATTGCTTTACTCTCCATTCCCAGTGGCATGCTACAACCTCAAAGAAATGAAAGGAAAATGCCATCACAAAGACCCGCTGCAGCCTAGATTCATTCTAGGGCTACTGTCATCATGATGCCATTTCTCAGGTATTTACTTTTGCACATATTCTATTATTGTTAACATGCCCCGTTTTCTGCTCAGCTCTGCTCGGTTCTCTTTGACTTTTATTTGCCTTGTTGATAGCAGTGTAAGAGGTGGCTGCCCCTGGGGTTCCCATGGTTCGGGTGACCAAGTCATGGGTTTACCCAGAACTTTCCTGGTTTTAGCACTGGTATTTTCTAGTCCTGGGAAACTCCTTAGTCCTGGGCTAACTGGGATGGCTGGGCACCCTACCCACAGTGGGGAGAGGAAAGGACACGGGATGGCTCGGCACTTACTGTTTAAATCACAGCCCATCAACTCCATACGAAGAGTGCTGCGGATGCTGTGATGTGTTGGGTGCAAGCGGATGTACTGAGCAATAATCGGAGGGTTAAAACTATTGTGTTTTATCCCCGATGAATCCACATTACCGAAGAAGACCTACAGAGAGGGATTAGGACAAATACACAGAAAATGAAGACAGAGTGAAAAGCAATGCCTTCCCAATCATATCTTCCTTTTACTTTTGCTTTGGGCATGTCTCAGCAGCATTTAACACCCAAACAAAACCATTCTGGTTAGAATACTAGGATCGTATACATGAAGGAGCAAAGCACCAAGAAGAGTAGAACAAGGGGGATTAGGTCTGGGGCAGGTGAAGTAGTTTTCTACTTTGGGTTCCTATAAAAGACTCATAGAAGTTGAGGAAGCTCTTTAGGGTTTTGCGACTCCAGTGTGGTCCAGAGACCAGCAGCATCAGCATCACCTGAGGGCTAATAGGATATGCAGTATCTCGGGCCCATCCCAGATCCACTGACTAGAAACTCCATTTTGACAAGCTCCCCAAATGAAGCATTGGCTTGGAGCAAGTCGTCTCAGAATTATCTCCCAAACATGTGCAAGTGTGCATGCATGCATGTGCGCATGTGTGTATGAACTGTGGGGCATTGATTAACAATCCATTGCATATAAATTCATGAAACACGTGTTAGTCTCCAACGTGGGGTTTAGGACCTTGACATGTCTAGGATCTGGAGAAAAACATATGATATATTCAGGGAAGGGAACAAATTTTGAGAAATATGGTATTAATGCCAATTCAGAAAGCCTAGATATAAACCATGGCATATCATATAAGGAAAGTTGGAAATCAGAGCTCTCCTAGAACACCTGGGAATCTGTATCTGTTTCAGTGCTCTAAAATAGGCATTAACTTAGGTCTCTTTTGTGATCACACACCAGAGTAATAGTATCATGGGGAATTTTAAAAAATTGTCCTGCCATGTAACAATTCTTTTTCTTCCTATGGAATAGAAAACAGTAATAAATTTATAGCATTATTCTTGGAAGAAGTACAGCCAGAGTGCTCCTTGGAAGCGAGGACAGCAAGACTTCATCTCACGTACTTTGGACACGTTATCAGGAGGGACCAGTTCCTGGAGAAGGACATCATGCTTGGTAAAGTGGAGGGTCAGAGAAAAAGAGGAAGACCCTAAACAAGATGGATTGACACAGTGGCTGCAACAATGGGCTCAAGCATAACAACAATTGTGAGGATGGTGTGGGATCCAGCAGTGTTTCGTTTTGTTGTACATACGGTCGCTATGAGTCAGAACCGTCTCGACAGCACCTAACAACAACTTATACTAAAAATCACAGCATTCTTCAGTAAACATACCTACAGTTTGGGTTAAGATCAAATTAATAACATATACAAATCACCAACATTTGTTTAAAGATTCACCACGTGCTCTTTTATCTACATATGGGGAAATCTGACCTTTTATTTATGCCTTTTAGACTTGATCCTTGCAAGAGCTAATGTGATTAAACCCCAGGGAACAAATTCATCAGCCTTCTATACAGCCCCCTGTACTTGAAGAAAAATGTTAGTTGTTGTCGAGTTGGCTCCAAGTCTTGGCCACCTTATGTGTAACAGAACAAAATGTTGCCTGGTCCTGCATCCTTTTGCAATTTTCTACCTCTGAGTCTTTGTATCTGTCTCCACGTCTTGGTTTCCTCCCGCCCACCCCTGCCTCTCTGCAAGTTGAAACAAACCCTAAGCATCCTCTTAGTTTCAACTCGAGTACCACCTAATTCCGTGAAGCCTTTGCTGATTGGCCTTGTTTGTTGAGATCTTTTTTCCCTGGAACCCACAGAGCAGTCTACACCTTATATATGGCATGTTTCTTGTTCTATAGGCATTTTCATACCTCATTAATTCTCCTTGGAGCCCTGGTGGCACAGTGGTTAAGAGCTACGGCTGCTAACCCAAAGGTCGGCAGTTGGAATCCACCAGCGGGCTCCTTGGAAACCCTACGCAGCAGTTCTACTCTGTCCTATAGGGTTGCTATGAATAGGAATTGACTCCATGGCAAGGTTTTTTTTTTTTTTCTTTTTTTTTCCCAAAAATTCAGACACACTCAATGATTCAGCGTGCTTCCATTAATGAAAACACACGGTATCAACAAAAAATTCAAAGCAGAAAATAATTGGGCCACCCATTAAGGTACACGGGATGATGAAAAGGTTCTGGCATTAGAAAGTGGTGCGGGTTGCACGACACGCGGCTTGTACCGTCCGCCGTCTGGTGTCCCACGCGCAGGTCAAGTGGCAAGGCAGAGTTCCCCCCAAAGGAAGGGTCAGTGATGACAGTGACCCTTCCGGGCCCAGGGGGAAGCCAGTGACGTCACGCAGGCCACGTGTCACAAAGGCTGCCCCCCAGACCAGAGAGGGGTTGGTCTGCGGGCGCGAGGAGGAGACGGTGGCGCGAGCGCGCCGAGGCGTCCGTCCGTTGTGAGAGGCCGGTGGCGGCGGTGGCGGTGGCAGCGGCAGCAGCAGCAGCAGCAGCAGCAGCAGCAGCAGCTGGACGGACGGGCTAGGCGCGCCGGAGAAGTCACAGCAGTGAAACGAACCTCATGTCCAGTCACCCTCGTCGTCGTGATGATGGAAGGTCCTCCCGTCGCCAGAGGCGGACCCGCTCTCGCAGCGCCCTAGGCGAGCTGACCTTCTCCGTGGGCCACGTAGAGCGCCTGCTGCGGGAGGGCCACTACGCTCAGCGCCTGAGTTCGTCGGCTCCCGTGTTTCTGGCGGCCATCCTCGAGTACCTGACGGCCAAGGTCCTGGAGCTGGCGGGCATGGAGGCCCAGAAGAGCGGCAGGAGGCGCATCACACCCGAGCTGGTGGACATGGCCGTGCACAACAACGCTCTGCTCAGCGGCTTCTTCGGGACCACCACCATCTCCCAGGTGGCCCCGGCCCGCGAGTGAGGGGCCCGGGCACAGCCTGCGCTGCCCACAGCCCACACCCCACACAGCCCACACAACCCACACAGCGCACAGCGCACAGCCCACAGCCGGGGAGGCCCGGGTTCGGCCTCCTGGGCAGCCTCTGTTCAGTTCTTTAATAAAGTGTTTTCCGAAACCTTGGGTGTGCGTGAGTCCCTTTGTGGCCGGCCGGTGGCCGTGAGGCCTGCATGTGGAGACCCCCACAGGGACATGGCTGGAACGGAGCGGGGGCAGTGGTGGCCTGGGCGGGGGCTTGACTCGGGGGCTTCAGAGACTGAGGGCCAGTGTCTCCTGGCGACGGTGCGGGGAAGGGGCCCGGGGGTGGGAGGTGCAGAAGACACCCCTCACGGCCTCTGAGGACAGAGGTCAAGGCCTGGGGGCCCCCTGGCAGGGCAAAGTCCCCAGGATGGGGGGTGCCCATTGTGGTGGAGCTGAACACCATGGCTGCTGCGCCCAAGGCTTTATTCAGAGGAGGCAGGCCTAAGGGCCACAGGGGCAGGGTGGAGAGGGGGGACATAGCGGTGGGCAGGGACTTCCAAGGGGCAGGGGCGATATTGAGGAGACACACGGGGGGAACAGTAAAGGAAAGCATGAAAAAGGAACAGTGGTCATGCAGGATCACTTTAGTTGGAGTCCATTAATTTTGAGCCGCCTAATGGGTTTAGGGAGCCCTGGTGGCGCCGTGGTTAAGAACTCAGCTGCTGAAGATGGAGGAGTAGTCAGATGCTTCCGGTGGACCCTCGTACAACAAAGAGTCAAAAAAAAAAAACAAGTGATTCCATTATATAGGGCAATCTGGGAGCCCTGAACATCAAAGACAGAGTTGAGGAACCGGACCGAGTGGCAGGGGGAGGGAGAGACGGGTTCGGAAGCAGCGAGGAGTTGCCAGACCTGACCCGGTGAGAGCCAGGCAAGCAGTGGTGCTTGGGAGGCGCGTCTCCTGTACCAGGAGAGACCCAGCACCAGAGAGTCTTCACGGCCACCCAGAACCAGTGAGAAGCAGCCCCGGAACGGCCAAAGATAAGGAATTGCGTACGGCCAACCGCGGGGATCAAAAACACCCGCCTCAGGGAAAAACCTCTCTCCCATTTACCTCCCAGCTCCCTGCTCTGCACTGGGTTCCGGACCAGCTTCAGCAATTGCCCAGTCCCCTGGGCCCAAAGGAGGATCTGTCACACGCCCAGAGCCATTCTCCCTGCCTTGGAGAGTGAACCAATTAACAAACAGAGGGAAGAAATAAACTGCGG